CACTGCCTCCCCTCCGAGCAGCTGGGTGAGCCAAGACATTCCCTGTATAAATGCTGTCCCTCCTCAGCTGGACACACTAGCCTCCTCGTTGCTCTGCTCATATTTCTCCTGTGCATCCAGAAAAAAAATGTGTTCTTTGCTCTCCACAAAAAAAATGTGCCACACCTACCCCAGACTGAGATACAAAAACAGGCATTTTGTAACGTTTGTTGGAACACTTGGATTACATCCACATCTCGAACCCAGTTCGAGTTTTTATCTTGTTTTGTCGCTGTTTAAAGCACAACCCAGAAGGCTGTGGGGGTCATGCCCAGCGCTAGAGGTTTTCCTTTGCACCGTAAGGCTTTGGAAAGGAAATCGCTTTGGTGGCTCACACCAGCAGCCCTGAGGCCGGAGGCGGGGAAGGTTTAACAATCTAACCTAAACACACTGGAGTTTGAACTCTGGCTTTGTTCATAGCCTCGACAACGGGCCCTGACCTTCAGGGGCACGGGGTGGGATATATCCATGTCATCGATGGCAAACCGCAGCCAGACGGCAGTTCCCTCTTGGAAACAGAGCGCTTCTGGAGTATTCCTCGGAGCCGCAGACAAGGTTGAAGACGGCAGTTTTACAGCAGAGCATTGGGAAAATGTTTTTTGTTTGTTTGGAAGTGGGAGGCTGTGTGTACACAGATGTGGAGGTCAAAGGTTGATGTCAGGCGTCTCCCCTTAATCACGCTTCATCGTATTTCTTGAGACAGGGTCTCCCGGTGAGCCTAGAACTCAGTGATTTACTTACAGTGCCCAGCCAGTGAGCTGCAGGGTTCTGCCTGTCTCTGTCCCCCATCCAAGCACTGGGGTCACAGACACGTGCTGCCAGCCATGCTTTCACGGGGTGCTGGGGCTCTGAACTCTTGGGGCTTGCACAGTGAGCGCCTTTCACTCGCCTCTGCCCTACTCCAGATGCAATTTCTTTTCAACTATCTTCTGTCTGTGATTTGTTAAAGTGGCCAAGGCAGAACTCGGAAGGAGTAATGACTATTCCAGCACTGGATTGATGATGGATAAATAGTTGGGCCTGTTGGTGTATGCCTTCAGACAGCTCTCTGAGTTTGAAGTCAGCCTGGTCCAGGCCAGCCAAGGCTGCATAGTGAGACCCTGTCTCCAAAAAGAAGATAACAAATATAAAAATAATTCCGTAGGATTTTTATATTGTTTATGTATGCCCCACAAAGAGTTCTGTAAAGAGCATGTGAATACACCGTTCTCAATTCTGCCTTTCACACATGAAATTCATTGGTTTTGAGTCAATAAAACACAAAGGCCAGCAGAGGGCACTGTTCCCTAATAGAAAAGGAGCCGTGGGCCCACCACAAGATGGCCGGCCACGGGTCGATTTTCCTAGGGCTGCCCCAACAAGGAGCCACAACCTGGACGGCTGGCACAACAGAAATATTTTTGCTCATCATCCGCGGACTGAAATTCTAGAATGAATGAATGCGTTCGGTTGGTTTCTTAGCAGAAGGTTTCTCAGCGGTGGCTAGCAGATGGAGTCTCACTGCGTCTACACGTGGTCGGTCCTCCAGTGTCCGGGTCCTGGTCTGGAGAGGTGGTTCAAGTCCCAGCACCCACACAGGGGTTTCACACTCTGTGACTCTGGTTCTAGGGAACCCAACACCCTGCTCCAGCCTCCTTACCCAGGCATGGTCATGGTACACATACACAGGACAGGCAAAACACACATGCACATGCCATCAAAATAAACAAATCTTTTTAAAGTCATATTAGAGCCCAAACTAATAACCTCATTTAACCTCTTTCAAGATTGCATACCCAGCCCAGTGGTGGTTGCACACGCCTTTAATCCCAGCACTCGGGAGGCAGAGGCAGGTGGATCTCTGTGAGTTCGAGGCCGGGCTGGACCAACAGCCTCCAAAATAATACAGAGAAACCCTGTCTCATAAAACTAAAAAAAAAAAATGCATACCCAAATACACTCCTATTTCCAAGATTACTGCAGGTTGCAACATATAAATGGGAGCTGGGGCATGACTCAGCACACACAACCTCTGTTTTCAGGGTTGCTAACCTTTTTCAAAGACATCCCCAAGTTGCAGTAGTCCGGCATTGCAGGACGGTCTGGCATTGCAAGGTAGGGAGCCTGAGAGACCGTACTGCGGATGCTGAATCTGACTCTGTTTCTAGGCTACCAGGCTGCCAGTTCTCTCTCCTGGGTGCAGTGGGGCCAGGCTCTGTCTGGTGCAAAGCTGGGGTGTTCGGTAGGTTACCCACAGTCAATACATCTCCCTGCTGCTTCCTGTGTTCTCAACGCTGAGTGAAATGAGCAAGAAGCATCTGCAAGTCAAAGTATTCTTTCGTTTGCTTTTGTACGGTGTGTGCATGTGTGTGCGTGTGTGTGTGCACATGCTCACACACACGCATACAGATGCACACCACACACACACACCACAGCAAACCTCACCTAGACACACACCAGCAGCAGTCCCAGCAGACAGCTGCTGGCTGAGGTCTGAGCTGTATCACACTTAGGAAACTTAGGTTGGCTGGGATCTTATGCCACAGAAATTAATCCCAGCATGAATCAATTGAAACCAAGTCAGGTTGTTAAGTAAAGAAAGCGAAATAGTGTATGCTTTAGATTTAAGCGTGGAGGGTGGTGTTCACGTGTCTTAGCAATATTTTGTGGTCTTTGAAACTACACTCTCCCAAAAGATGTTATTGACAACCAGGTTCAAAAGATTAAGCAAAGTTTTAGGTTTTTTTATTTTGTTTTGTTTTGGGGGGTTGGTTTTTTGTTGTTGTTGTTGTTGTTTTTAGAGTGTGGCTTTAGAGGCTGTCCTGGAACTCGTTCTGTAGTCCAGGCTGGCCTCGAACTCACAGAGATCCTCCTGCCTTTGCGTCCTGAGTGCTGGGATTAAAGGTGTGTGCCAGCAATGCCCAGCTGGTTAAGCAAAGTTTTAAAATTACACAATAAATATGAACTGTCTTACTTATTTCTTATCTTACATAATTTCCTTTTGTAGATGAAATTGTGAGGCGATTTACAAAACTCAAGTTTAGGGACGAGAGGTGAAAACTGACCAGGTTAAGGTCAAAGGTCACAGACCTCCCGCCCATTCCGTCTAAGGCAAGCTTGCCTCACTTGGTGCTTTCACTCCGAATTTAAATCCCTGGGAAAGGCAGCTGCTGATTCTCTGCAGACTATACTCACAGTTTCCTGGCTGCTGGATGCCTCGATGCCCTCCAGCTAGAAATGCAAACCTGATACAGAAGTGAGGGCCTTCTGTTTCTTCCCGGGTCCCCCCACTCTCCTTCCTATCTTGTCTTACACCCACACACTACACTAACACTCCATGGACACATTCTCCCCACGACAGACATACCCACCACACACCACAAAACAGGCACGCTTAGACCCTACACACCACGTATGCCGTACACGCTGCACGCATGCAAACCGAGCCCACGCCAGTCCAGCCCTATTCTGTTCTTCCCCCCTCCTCTAAATCCCAGGCTCACTAAATTAATCCCATGATCTCGAGCAGAAGTTTGGAAAACACAGACTTCAAGGGAGCCGGGGGAAATCCACAGGCCTCTGCGGAAGAGACCTCTGGCCTGCGGTCTGCCCTTGACCACTGAGCAGTGACTGACTGCTCCCGGGTGGATCCCTGACCCGAGGCTCCAGCTAAGGCTGAAGGCTTCCTCCCACTGGCAGCTGCCAAGAACGAGAGAGGCTGAGTCAGGCAGCCTGCCAGCGGGCGTGCGTGTAGGAGGGACCCTCGAGAGTATACCCAGCTTCCTACCTGGGAAGCACCCCCCCCCCGAGTTCTGCGTTACCCCTTCATTTCACAACACCATGCTTCCTTAACGTTTTCTAAGTCATTGTTTTCCACACTCCAGCTGAGTCATAAACTGTATTTAGTCAGCCCTCTGTGTCCGGACTTAACCAACCCCAGACAGCAGATATCCAGGAATATTGCTGGGGTTTTCCTAAACATGAACAGATGCTCCTTGCCATTGCTCCCCCCCACAGTACAGTAGAGCAGGTTCTGACGTAGCATTTCCGTGGGCTGGGTACTAGAGGTGATCTAGAGGCAGTTTGATACACAGAAGAGAGGCCTGCGTTAGGTCTGAATAATCTCACTTTGAATCACGAACTTGGGCGTCTGTGGAGCTGGGTATAAAGGCAAGGACCCTGGAGGCAGTTCTCCACAGACACTGGCAGGAGGTGGTAGTGAATTTCAGACAGTTTCAGAGGGAAAAGAAATGAATGAGAGGAGGTGTGTGTGCCAGGCGCGACCGAACTGGGTAGAACAGAGCGCACAGTAAGGGCAGGCACTGGCGTGACAGCGGAGGGTGTGTGTTGGATCCTAAATCTTCCGCGGCTGTCGACAAGCTACCAAATGAAGCAGCAACTACAAGACAGAGACAAAAAGGCCATGCTCATGATTCAAACGCTAAAGCACAGAATTGAGCAACCCCAGAAAGTCATCCATCAACTGAAAAAGAAAAACGAAAAGTCAGAGGCCCACAGCCAATGGCTGACCCTGCTGGGCCAAGGGATTCAATCATCTCAATCATTGCCCTTCCTGGCGAGCGTCCAACCAGATGGCCATCCTTCCTGTTACAAGCCCACCCGCTTGTGGGCACAGAGCTGAGACCTCGGCCGTGGGTGGTTTTCTTTCATAAGTGATTTGGCTAGTGTCCCTGTACGGATGGGAAGTCACGGCTTTGCAGGCTGGAGAGCCAGGGGAGGCATTGGCTGCAGCTGGAGTCTGAAGGTAGCTGGAGAGAGGGTTCCCACAGAATACAGTCTGCTTTACTCAGAGACTCGTGGTGTGTACGTCCACTGGTCTTAACATTACCTTCACAGAAACGTCCAGACTGCTGTTTGTCCAAGCACTTCCTTGTCAACATGACAGATGAAATCAACCATCACTCACACTACCTTAGTGTCATTCCCAGGGCTGTGAGAGAATACACTAGCAGAAAGCGACACAGGGTGGAAAAGGTTTATTCGGTGACAGCTCCATCATGTTAGGGAAGTCAAGGTAGGAATTCAAGCAGCTAGTCACGCCACATCCACAGCCAAGAGCAGCGAGAGAAGAATGCACCCACTTCAGGGACCCAGCCTAGGGGATGGTGCTACCCACGGTGGACTGGATCCTCCGACATCAATCACCAAATCTAGACCCCTGCTCCCATGCATACAGACCAACCTGAACTAGATAATTCCCCATTAAGATTCTCCTCCCAGGCGATTCAACAGTCGAAACTAAGCAGCACTCCACTTTAGGAAATAGCATCACCACCTGACTTAATATCTTATCTGTTATTAGCAGGCACCTAACCCCAGGTGCCAGGAGCCGAGTTCGTTTCCTGTATAACCCTTGCTGCATGGCCAAACTAGCACCGTGTTCTACATCATGTACCTACCCATGTCTAACCTTTGCCCTGCCATCGTCCTGGCCGGGCAGAGGTTCTGCCCGGGAGCAGTCATTCCCGGGGGACCTTGTAGAACGTTAGGAGGGCCGCACTGGCATCATGACGATGGGGTGAGTGCTATCAACGTGTGATGAGCAGAGGCCAAGGATGGTGGCCATGGGGTAATCTCACGACCGTCTTCCGTGACGAATCCATGGCTACATCTTCGGAGGGACATCCCTGTTTGCGACTATTCAGCCTTAGAACCTATTTCTGTTTTACACTCAACTATATATTTCTTGATACTTGACTATATTGCCATACACCAATGCATATATACAGTGTATACATATATCCAAATTCGTATGTCTCTTTATCAACATTGAATGTGATTTTCCCTACAGAACACTCTGTTCTGAAGTTCACACCCCATCACTGGGGTGTGAACACTAAATGATAGCAGACACACACGCACACACACACACACACATGCACACACACGCAGTCACGCATGTACACACACATACACGCATGTACATACGCACACATACACGCATGCGCACACACACACACACGCGTGCACACACGTCTAGTCACCTATCTCATTGCTTTGGCCAAGACGCCCTCCCATGCCATGGCCACATCAGGTCGACCACAACCCACTTGAAGCCCAGTTCACCAAAGCCAGGGTTCTTACCAACTCCTGTTCTTCCTGCTTTATCATCTCAACTTTCTCTCCTTCCTACCTCTCACTCTCTGATCAATCAGTTAATCGGGACTCTGAACCCAAACACTATTGTTGGCAAACAAATGCAATTCTCACTTTCCCTGGCCACACTGCTCAAGAGATAGACAGGGAGGAACTACACAATAAAATAGTCCTGGAGACTGCACTGGGTGCTGCCCTCCTACTCAGAGAAATTGCCGGGAGCACAAGTCTAGGCTCTTTCTTTGCAAGTGCTGCAGCTCCTTTAAGTCCAGAGCCATGGCTATAGCTTTACAGTTTTGCGGGAATTCCGGCCAAACCTTCCACTTCTGCAGGTTCTGAATCCACAGACTCAACCAGCCTTATATTTAAAATGTTTGGGGGGGGGGTGTTGGAGAGATGGCTCAGAGGTTAAGAGCACTGGCTGCTCTTACAGAGGTCCTGAGTTCAATTCCCCGCAACCACATGGTGTCTCACAATCATCTGCAGTGAAATCTGGCGCCCTCTTCTGACCTGCAGGCATACATGCAGACAGAACACTGTACATAATAAATACATATTTTAAAAATATATAAAATATTCGGGGAGGACAGTGGGGAGATGGTACAGTTGATAAGGCATTTGCCAGGCAAGCATTAGGACCTGAGTTCAGGTCCCCAGACCACTAGGGATGGGCCTTCAAAGGTTTTAGCCCAGCCCGGGCTCCAATCAAGCTCTGATTCGTCGTGGCTCAGGACAGGTAAAGATTCTCCGCTAGACACTCCTGCTGCCCTGACACTGCCGTGTCTCCCAAACCATCAGGAACTGAAATCTCTGAGCATCTCGGTACCTCTCTTTCGAGTTTAGAATACCGTTCTGCGGAAACGGCTTCTTCAGTCAAGCACAGGCCTTGCAAACCTAAAGACCTGAGTGAAATCCTAGAGCCCGTGTAAACACGTGGGTGCGGCGGTATACTCTTCTATTCCCACTCAACACTAAGGAAGCAGAGACAGGAGGATCCCTGGGGTTGCTTGGCCAGCCATTCTAGCCTAGTGAGACACTGAGTCTCAAAGGATGTGGGTGGCAGAGGTTCTCTCTCTCTCTCTCTCTCTCTCTCTCTCTCTCTCTCTCTCTCTCTCTCTCTCTCTCTCTCTCTCTCTCTCTCTCTCTCTCTCTCTCTCTCTCTCTCACACACACACACACAACACAGTAAGTAGATAATTTTAAGGGAACTCAGATCACTGTGTAGAAAGGTGGAGTCATTGTCACTCTGGAAAGACACCCTGCAGACGCAGTCCCTAAACACGAGGGCGACACCGTAAGCTCGCATGTTGATCTGCTCGGCTGCAGGGGCACGGGCTTGGTGGGAAGAAGCCGGCTGGCAGGTGAGAATGCGGCCTTAGAGAATGGTAGGGACCCTGAAAAACAGTGAAAGAAGGAAGTGAGTCATTTTACGACTCTGGGGAAGGGAAAGGTCATGCACCGTAGCCAAGTATGGGGGTTGAGGTTGGGGCAACGGTGGCAGCTGCCTCCTTCTCCGCCAAGCAAGGCAGAGTGTCCTGCTCACCACAGTGTCCACACCCCGTGAGCGGAAGGTCTCTCGCCGCCCCCTTCCACTTCCTCCATCTGCTGGCTTGAGGCTGCGTGTGGTCTAGTGGGGTTTGGGGTTCTCAGCCTAGAGGCTCAGGAACCGGCTCTCACCTGCCTCGCACGTGCAGGTTTCAGGGATGTTCATGACCCATCGGAAGGGTACAACCATCTGGAGCGTCAGCCAGGACCTGCCAAGAGGATGCTGGAGTCCAGAACTTGACATCAAATGTAAATCTGACCCCGGGTGCATTCCCACTGGACGCAGGACTGACCCCAGCTCTCCGGGCGTGATATTTGGGGCTCTCTCCACTGTCCTGGAAGAACAGGAAGGTTCTGGGTAGGAGATCCTAGGAACAGGAGGACCAGACCTGCAGCTCAGACAGCTTCACCGAATTCTCTTCCTCCATGAAGCCTCTGACACACACATGCACTCCATAGCTAGAATGTTCCTTCTCCACAAATCTCTTTCATGGCTCTTGCCACAGGCCCTCTCCTCTGCAAGAAAGCACCGCCACACACTTCCTGTAAAAAGCAGAAGTTGTCACTGGGGACTCTCTGACCTTCCCCCAAATATACATATGAGCTCCCTTCATTACAAAAGATGCCAACCGAGTGCCTTCTTCTGTGGAGAGGCAGCCCTTCTCTGTGTTCCTGGACTCTCCATCCCACCTCAGACATGCCAGCCTTGTCTGTATCGCCCTTACCAACGTGGCCCTGCTCCTAGGATCATTCCCAATAAACTACGGTCATGCCGGACAACTTTCCATCTCCAAAATATCACCTTAAACAACGGCACATCTTTAAGAATGGCTTTTGTGCGGCAGGCTTTTCCTGGGGAGACACGACACAAATATCTACTCACCCAAAATAGGAAGCCCATGACAGAACAAGTGTAAACGCCCCCAAAGTCCACCCAGGTGACCAAGGTGTTTTACAGGGGTTGCTTACAAAAACATGGGTGAGGGGTTACTCTCGGGAACATGGGTGAGGGGTTACTCACGGGAACATGGATGAGGGGTCGCATACAGGAACATGCGTGAGGGGTTACTCACAGCAGCAGAAGTGACTCTAACCCGATACCAGGGCTAACCCCAGCACGTGTGACAGTTCCCAGAGCTGGGGACCTGGAGCACACTGCACAGCCTGCAGTCAGCTCAACAGGTTGGGGAGCGTCCTTTCCAGGTGTCTCGGCTGATCCGAGCCTTTTCCAGGAAGTTAGACTGGTTTCTGCTTCTTCCAGGCAACTCTCTGGTCTCAGGGTTTCTTTGCAGCTTGGCTCACGGAGAGCAATCCTCAGCACCCTCTGCTGTTTACTCTCCGGACAGAGGGGCCTAGTGAATCTTGTCAGCTGCTTTAGGTCGTTCATGTCATCTTAAGGAGCTTCCCTGAAAGAATGTTTCAATCTAAAAGGAAACTGCCACACAGCAATGTCTAAAATCTGCCACTGATGACAAGCGCTGGCGAGGATAACAGGGACTTACATTCCTTGCTGGTGGGAATTCTGTACAACACGGCCGCTTTAAGAGATAACGAGGTAGTTTCTTATAAAGCTGACTATATCGAGCCATATGACCTTTGAAGCTGTCGAGTGAAATAAAAAGTCATATCTAGGAGCTTGAGGGATGGTCCAGTGGTTAAGGACGCTTACTGCTCCCGAGAGGACTTCCCTTGGGTTCCCAGAACCCACACGGAGGCGGCACACATTCCTCTCTAGCTCCAGTTCCAGGGGATCCGATGCACTTCCCTGATTTCTGTTGTTACTTCACACAGCTGATGCACAAGCGTTCTTGCAGGCAAAATACACTGACAAAATAAAGGAAATAAATCTAAAAACAAGTAAGCAGATTTTTTTTAACTTGAAGTCCATATTTTCTTTCTTTCAAGGATCGTAGTTTTGGTGCATCTAATAGGTCTCCCCAAACCCAAGGTCATCTAGACTTCCTTTGACATTGTCTAGTAATGACATTGTCCCTTCAACGTCTGTATTTCACACAGAGGTCTATCACCTACTTTCCAGTTAGTTTTTGTGAAAAGTGTAAAATCTGTGTGTCTGGTGTGTGTCAGGCAGCTTTCTGCTACTGTAACAAATGCCCCAGGTAGTCAATCTGAGGAGGGAAAGTTTATTTCAATGTATGCGTTTGGGTCCATGATTGAGTGTCTACGTCACTCTTGAGTGTGTGGTGAACCAAGAAGCCAAGGCAAGGAACACAAGGGCACAAAAAGAGGAAAATGAAGAGATCAGACTCCCACAGTCCCCTTCCAGAACACACCATTAATGAACGGGGTCTCCCCACGGGCTCTGATTGTTAACGGGTTCCAAGACTCTCTCTCCAGGAGAATCAAGATGAGGGCCATGTCGCAGGGGATAGGTCATACAAGCTGCAGCAGGCTGTTGGTGGGAAGACTGCCTTCCTTCTAGGGAACACCGGGTCACAGATCATGTGACCGTATCTGTGAGGTCCTCTCAACTAGGCATCTTGTCTAATTGATCTGCTTGACCTGAAAGTGAGATCGAATGCCAAATGCAATTAATTGTAGTTAACATTTGCATGTTTTCAACGATTAGAACAATGATATTTTTCCCCAAGGGCATAAATAGAAATTTCAGCAATCCCATATGTGTGTGTGCATATACACACATATATACATGTGTGTGCATATGTACATATATATGTGTGTGCATGCATGTGTGCATTTATACATATATGTATGTGTGCGCATATATACATATATATGTGTGCGTGTGTCCATATAATACATATACATATTTGTGTGCATATATACATATATATGTGTGCATGTGTGCATATATACATATACATATATATGTGTGTGCATTTATACATATATGTATGTGTGTGCATATATACATATATGTGTGCATATATACATATATGTGTGCATGTGTGCATATATACATATACATATGTGTGTGCGTGCATATATACATATACATATATGTGCATATATACATATATGTGCATATATACATATATGTGTGCATATATACATATATGTGTGCATGTGTGCGTGTGTGCATATATACATATTTATGACACTATACTTCATTTCTGTGCCCTCATTGCCTCGCTGGTCATCCCCTCCCCCTCTCGCTGCCCCCTTCTTCCCAACCGCCTCTCAGTCTGCTTTCAAGTCATGAATATTCATTACCCTCTCTGGTCTCCACCCCCTCCCTCCCTTTAGATCTCTTCCTCCATCCTCCTAGACTTCTTCTATCTTCATCACCTGTGTGGAAATTTGCAGATCTACATATATTTAAGTCTAGAGTCCATGTATGAGGGAAACATATTGGTCTGGGTCTGGTTTATTTTACTGAACATAATGATCTCCAGTCCTACCCATTTCCTGCAATATTTCTGTTTTTAACGAACATATTATATACATTTTAACGCAGAAATGGGGGCAGACAGCACAGTTTTGTGAAAGCTTTACCCAACTTGCAGGAGCTATTTCTGCAACTTCTTTGAAACTGTTGCTGAAAATATTTTCAATGCTGAGTGTCTTTTATAGAGAGAACCAGGATCTCAGTAGGAGCCTTTCAAATGTATGGTACTGGTAAGAATCCTGCCCAGGGTAACATAAGAGGCAGGGCTGTCACGCCTCTTCATGATCAGTCCACGAAGAGGGCCCCCAAAATGTCAGCCCTCGCGATGAAAATGTCCCTTTAAGCACGTGTGACAGCTCTCCCTAGCCATCCCAGCACTTGGTGGGTTATAGCATGGAGATCTCAAGTTTCAGGACAGTTGGATACATAAAGAAATACTGTCTCTAAAGGAAAAAAAAAACATTTATGAGGAAATAACATCCCCCCATAAAACCCGTGAATATTACCATCCCCCCTTTCCTCAGAGGTGAGATTCAGTGCTCCAAACAGGCTGAACGGTCAGCCTTCACGCCTTGTCTTACAGACCCCATTAACATTTCCACCTCGGTAACTAACATTCATGTTTAGGATACGGACACGCTACGGAAAGCTGCTCCACATTCTATTTTGGAAAGACAAAGATGCCAGCACCTAAGTAGGTAAGGAAGCATTGTTCTTCTGGCTCTAAAATATCTTTTTCTCGGGGGGGAGGGGAGCTAGGTAGTATTAAGCAAAGACCCAAGGAGGAGCAGGAGAGTGGGTTATGGTGTTTATAATATTTGCTTATACCGTGGGTAGAAACTTATACTCAGAGGAGTTTATAAACAAGTAAGCGCAGGCCCAGGAGAGAGAGGGTCCATTCGTCCGGGCCTTCATTGACTGGACCTAGGGCCTAGCCCATGATTCGCAAGCGCCCTGACACTCAGTGACACCCCCAACCCCCTTTTCCTTTGTGCTTTGCAATGGGGTCTCCCTGCACTGTCCAGGCTGGGCTTGATTTTGTTCTGCATCCCAGGTAGGCGCAGAATTCGAGACGCTGTCGCCTTGGCCTTGCTGGGAGCTGGGAACACACACCCTCGCCACCAGGTCTGGCGTGCACCTATTGTATCAAGCTAGCTTTAGCTGCCAGGCACTCACCTAGCCCCATGAGGAGGCCAAGATAACAAAACAGGCCCCCAAGTCCTTTATCTAGGACTCCCTAGACTGTACTTGAAGTGGGTGGGGTTCGGCACTCTAATGGCTAGGAAAGTGTCCAATCTGGTGGCCTTGTCCTGGCCTCGCTCCGCCCCCGGCCCCGCCTCACGCCTCGTCCCCAGATCGCCAGCCTCCGGTCGAGCCTCTAGGGACCGGAGGCGTCTCCGCACCGCCTGGGTCTCACTCAGGACCCGGGGAAGCCCTGCGGCTAGCCGAGGCCCTCCGGGTCGCGGAGCACCGGCCACCACCCCGCGGTCCCCCCCGCTTTCGGTCTGGGTCGCCCGGATCGACTCTCGCCGGCCGCTGCCCGCCTGCCGTGTGCATCAGCGCCTGGAGCCCAGAGCAGCTCCGAGGTGGCCCCAGGGACATCTCCGAGGGGATCTGCGAGATGCGGCCGTCCAGGTACCTGGGTGGGGACCTCTGGCATCTCGGAAGTAGGGCAAAGGCCGCCTCCCGGCTTCCAGTTCCCGGAATCCCCCTTCATCTCTCCTCCTCGGGACTCCGCCTCTTCCTGCGCTTCTTCCCTGGAGGTTCTGGGGACTCTGGGTCCCGCGACTCCCACGGGCTGCGGCCCCTGTTTCGTCTCCGGAGGTGGGGGAGGAGACGTCTCCATGCGGCCGCTCGCCCGAGCGGTGCACCCTGAGTTTCTGTGGGTTCTCCATCTGCGTCACCCAACCCAGAGTGCAGGGGACGCCTCGGCAGTAGCCATTACCAGGTCCTAGAGGGTCGGCGTTCCTCAGGATCCACTCCGCCTTGCCAAGCTGGGTTGCCCTCTCCAGCCTCTGGGTCCAGGTCTGCGGCCTGCCTCCCCCGCCCCGCTCGTGATCGGTTTGTTCACCAGCCCTAGAGGTCACAGCAGCAGACACTGGAGTGTCCTGCATCCTGACTGATGCTCCCCTGGGAAAGTGGGAGTTCGCGGGCGAGGGGTCACGGCCACAGAGGCAGAAGGAGGATCGGGATGGGACGTTGGGAAAGCACTGGGTGAATAATACTGGGAATATTGGTAGCTTGTATTTCTGTTCCAAGCAAGTGGATAGTTGCATGCGGTAAGCAGTTGGCCCCATGGACCCGTTTTATTTGGCTAGCAGGGCTTTATTGGAAAACTTTTGATAACCTACGAGCTTTTGCGCTGTAATGTTTGTTTGATGTCCTTGTTTTGTTTGACAAGAGGTCTTATGAAATAGCCTTAGGGTGGTCTGTGAAAGGTGCTGGGATTAGGACCAGAGGGTCAGTCTGTCTCATCGTCCCCTCCCTTGCCTATCTGTCCTTCTGTGCGACCTGGGGAGGTTACCGAGGTGGGGTGGTTGATGGTGGGGTAACCGAGGTCACTAAAAATGTCTTCATCGAATTCAACAACACCCTAGAGGTATGGGCATGCCTGAGGAGGCCATCAGTTTGTCTCAGGAAATTGCCGTTGTTTCACAAGTGGTTTTTCAATTGTAAGTCATAAAAAGAGAAACCCGGATGTGACTTTAAAAATATTTTCCCTGCATATTATTTAAACATTAAAAAGGAGCTGAAGGTGAAGTTAGTGATTCCTTTCCTTGTATTCTTGAAAGCCCTTGCTTGGATTCCCAGGGCTGCAAATTTTAATTAATTAATGTTGAGTTAAAGAAGGTCTCTCTCTTTTAATTAATGTTGAGTTAAAGAAGGTCTCTGTCTTTTAATTAATGTTGAGTTATAGAAGGTCTCTCTCTGGGGTTTGGGTGACTTAACAAAGTGTGATAACCCTTCCTGAAAGAAAACCAGGAGAGGTACTGTTTTAGAAGTGAAACTACTTTTTCTTTTTTCTTTTTTCCTTTTTATTTTTTATTCTTTGTTGGTTTGTTAGGTGGTAGTGGGGACTGAAACCATATTAGATAGATGACAGATACTCTAGCACTGAGCTACATCCCCAGCCCAGAAGTAAAGCACACACACACACCTGCATCTCTATACACACACACACACACACACACATGTGCACGTGCGCATACATCTACAGACACATACATACATCTACACACATACATATATACATCTACACACACACACACACACACACACACTTCAGTAGCCAGGCATGGTGGTAACCTGTAACCCTGTAATCTCACTCAAAGCTAAGGCAAAAAGATTTTGTGTTAGAGGCTGGTGTAGGCTGCTTGGTGAGAGCTTAGCTCAAAGACAAAGAGAGAAGGACAGGGAGGAACTCACAAAAAACTTAGACCACTCCCAGATTCCAAAATGTCTATTCTGTCACGCCCTCCCTCCCGCCCACACAAAGACTCCCTGGACTCATTTTCCCGTTGCATCTCAAGACCTCAGGGACACAAATATATCCTTTAATTATTGGTCTTCATATTTTATCTTATCCACTGCCCAAGTTAAAATGTCCTTGGCTTTTAAGATGTACCTGAGAAGTATGTAACCGAGTAAGAAGAGTCATTCATGCCATCATTCCAGAAAAGGCAAAAGTGCATTCTGGCATTCATGAAATCATAAGTGTGCAAGCACAGCCTGTGTTTGTCAGCTTTTTTTTTTTTTTTTTTGAGACAGAGTTTCTCTGTATAATAGCCCTGGCTATCCTGGAACTCTCTGTAGACCATGCTGGTCTCGAACTCACGGAGATCCGCCTGCCTCCGCCTCCCGAGTGCTGGGATTAAAGGCGTGCGCCGCCACTCCCGGCTATCATCAGCCCTTCTTACTTGTAGCTGTCATGACTGCAGGTTAAGTCAGGGTCCGTGTGTGACCTGTCTTCATATCCTTATCTCTTACACAAAACAGTGTGTGGTTGTTTGAGGGTGGCCCCGGAGGCTCATAGTCTCCAGTTGTCAGAGAAGGATTAGGAGGAACGGCATTGTTCGGGGAAGCGTGCCACGGGAGGTGGCCTTTAAGGTTTCAAAAGTCTCTCTGTCTCTACTCTCTGCCTGTGCATGTAGCTCTCAGATACTGTCAAGTACCTGCCTGCATTCTGCTATGCTTCCCGTCATGATACCAATGAACTGCATAGAAACTGCAAGCCAGCCCCCAAGTAAATGCTTCCTTTTGTAAGAGCTGCCTTGGTCACGGTGTCTCTCCACAGCAATAGAACACTGACCAAGACTCATGGTAGAAGCCAGCTCGTTGTATGAGGTTTTTCTAGGTCATATAGTGCTGATAGATATGTGTGTGTGTGTGTGTGTGTGTGTATGTATATATATGCATTATATGGGAGGATTATGTTCTGTGCAGACACCACGGCATTTATATACAGGACTTAAGGACCTTTGATTCTGGGGGTGGGGCTCCTGGCACTAACCCCAAGGGATAGTCCGTGACCGCTGTCCATTTCCCTGAGGTGTCCTTCTTATGTGTCCAAAAGAAGAAACTAGAGGGGCTGGGGACATGCCTCGGTGAGCAGGAGACTTTGTTGGGAAAACAAGAGGATCTGAGTTTGATTCCCAGCACCCACATAAAAGCCATGATTGTGCATGCCTGGAACCCCCCCATCCCTGGCCAATGGAGAGTAATCAGGTGTATCCCAGCAACTCCCTAGCTAGCCTAACCTTGACAGTCATCTTCAGGTTCAGTGAGAGACCTTGTCTCCAAAAGGGATGGGGAGTGGTAGAGGAAGTGATGATGTCTTCCTGTCTCTGGCCTCAGCTTCCGTGCGCATAGGGACACACACCAGACATAGACCCTCGCCTGCACATATACACACTGTCTGGCCTCAGCTTCCGTGCGCATAGGGACACACACACACACACACACACACACACACACACACACACACACACACACAAAGAATGAAACTAGAAAAAAATAACCTGGGTATAGTAATGCTCAAAGAATTAAGCTTTCAATTCCTGTACTCAGGTACCTGAGAAAAGGGGATTTATGTGAGTTCAAGGCCAGCCTGGGCTATCTAGTGAGTCCCGTGTTATCCTGGGCTGCACAGTAAGAAGGTAGCTATCTCAAAAGAAACAAACAAACAAAGAATTAAACCAGTGGTGTGCAATCCAGGGAAGAATGAACGAAAAGCATCTGCTCCTGAGCGGAGGTTGATTGACGGAAGAACAGTGAGGGAAAAGGAGTCAGGAATTGGGGTCAGGGTGGGAGTGCCGGAAGGGTGGAAATTTTTTTCTGGAGCCAACAGGAAAACGAGCATACTAGATAGCCTAGAGGCCAGTTTATAAACTGGATATCCTTAAAGTTTATCTTGGGTTTTTGTTTGTTCGTTTTTAATTCGGAGATTCTTTTAAGTGCCTTTAAAATTGAACCATGCTCCAAGCACAAGAAACTGTTCTATGGGTCAACAAGAATCTTGAACATTTTTTTATATCTATAACCATTCAGAGAGAAGCAAGTGGAGCAAGCGCGGCGTTTTCTTCTTCTCACAGAGGAGCCTTTGTGTGGGCAGAGGCCAGTGAGAGGGGAGAGGTGCTCCACGTTTCTACCCCAGTTGGAGAACAACCCAGGATGAACGGTCGCGTCCCCTTGCCTCTCCCCTCCCGGCAGTGAGCAGCGTACCGGAGTCTCTGTGGAGAAAGCCAGCCCGGAGTTCCGGGGCAGACTCGGCTCTCTAGGGTGCCTTCTCCCGACTCCAGTACCAGCTCCTCCTTTGGGGACGGGAAGCTGCCCTTGCTCTCCTGCCTAAGCAGAATGGGGCTGAGGTGTATGCGAAGAAACTAAGGTCCCAGCATGCTTCATCAAAGCAGCGGCGCCGGAAGCCATCCGAGCGCAGCAGAGGTGGGTGGGGGGACGGGAGAGTCTCACAGAAATATCTGTGAGGCGCTGGCCTGCAGCTCCCTTGGTAGAATGCTGGCCTAGCATGCATGAGGCCTGCTAGGTTTGATCGCGTGTACCTGATGACATGCCTGTCACCCCAGCATCCTGGGAGGTTTGATCGTGTGTACCTGATGACATGCCTGTCACCCCAGCATTCCGGGAGGTTTGATCGCGTGTACCTGATGACATGCCTGTCACCCCAGCATCCTGGGAGGTTTGATCGCGTGTACCTGATGACATGCCTGTCACCCCAGCATCCTGGGAGGTTTGATCGCGTGTACCTGATGACATGCCTGTCACCCCAGCATTCCGGGAGGTTTGATCGCGTGTACCTGATGACATGCCTGTCACCCCAGCATTCCGGGAGGTGGAGGCCAAAGGATCAGAAACTCAGGGTCGTCCTTGTCCATCTAATGATATATGAATATATGAGCCCTTATCTCAAATAAATGTGCATAGGTTCAATGCTTATATACTATATATAAGGTAGCTTTCGGCTGAAGCCGAAGGGCTTCCTTATACCCTACAAGTTGAAAAGAAAAAATGGAATTCATACTGGAATATTGACTAGCCCTGGTCTTGTGCAGATAACCACAGTGAGCTTGTGAATACAGCAGAAGACACTCTTTTTCCCTTGGTCCTCCTGTGCCCAGACTTTGCCAGAATCAGTGACTCTGAAGGACACACGGCGGGGGGGGGAGGCTTTGTCTGCCCAGCTGCCATTCAAGTTGAAAGTCAGTGGTCAGACTTTCTCAAATATGACCGGACACACACTAGAAAAGACAAGCGGAGACAGCTGGAAGCAGCAGGTTATCATAAGCACGGTCAGAATAAAAGCCTGAGAAGCCCTCTCGGTGCAGAG